TATAGGCGTTTTGTGAAAGATTTCTCGAAGATTGCTAAACCTATGACTACTCTAATGAAGAAAGACAAGAAGTTTGAGTGGGATGATAAGTGTGAAGAAGCATTCCAACTCTTGAAACAGAAGCTGGTTTCAGCACAAGTGCTTACACTGCCAGACGACAATGGTATCTATGATGTGTATAGAGATGCGTCAAAGAATGATTTGGGGTGTGTGCTTTTGCAAAATGGGAAGGTAATTGCATACACATCAAGGCAGTTATATACCCATGAAGTGAATTAACCAACCCATGATTTAGAACTTGCTACGGTTATCTTTGCACTAAAGATCTGGCGTCATTACTTGTATGGAGTAAAATGTAAAATTTTTACAGATCATAAGAGCTTAAAGTACATTTTCACTCCAAAGGATTTGATCTCTCGACTAAGGAGATGGTTGGAATATACGACAAATTATGACCTGGATATACAATATCATGAAGGGAAAGCAAATGTAGTTGCAGATGCTCTAAGTCGTAAGACCAGTCACGGATTAAATACCTTGATATAGCTGATGAGTTATGTAGGGAAATGAGGAAAATGAACTTAGAAGTGGTAGAATGGGAAGTACCAGCTGGCATTCTTGCGAGTCTGACTATCTAACCAACCATATTCGACGAGATAAGGGAGAACCAAGCAGGAGAAGTGAAATTGGATAGGATTCGAGAGAAAATAAAGCAAGTCAAAGCTAGAGATTTCAAAATTCATGAAGATGGAAGTTTGAGGTATAAAGGTCGATGGTGTGTACCTCAAAAGTGTGAGGAAGTGAAGAGAAAGCTAATGGAAGAGGGGCATAATACGCCCTATTCAGTACACCCAGGAGGGGATAAGCTATATAAGGACTTGAAAAGGGTGTATTGGTGGCCTAGAATGAAGAATGAGGTTGCGGAATTTGTAGCAAAGTGTCTGACTTGCCAAAAAGTGAAAATAGAGCACAAGAGGCCACAGGGAACGGTGCAACCATTGGAAATTCCTGGATGGAAGTGGGAATGCATTTCAATGGATTTTGTGACTTGCCTTCCAAAATCAAAGGGTGGAAATGACACCATTTGGGTAGTGGTGGACAGACTGACAAAATCTGCGGTTTTTATACCAATGAAGGAGACTTGGAAGATGGAGCAACTTGCAAAAGCTTACATCAAGAACGTTGTGAGGTTACATGGAATTCCAAAGGATATTGTGTCTGATAGAGATTCCAAGTTTCTTTCAAAATTTTGGAAAAGCGTACAGGAAAACTTTGGTACGACACTTAAGATGAGTACATCGTTTCACCCTGCCACAGATGGGCAAACAGAGAGAACCATTCAAACCTTGGAGGACATGTTAAGAGCTTGTGTTATAGACTTCAAAGGAGGATGGGAGGATTGCTTGGATTTGATTGAATTTTCTTACAATAATAGTTATCATGTGAGCATAGGAATGGCTCCATTTGAGGCATTATATGGGAGAAAGTGTCGTAGTCCAATATGTTGGAACGATATAAGAAAACAATGATTCTAGGGCCTCAAATGATCGAGGATACAGTGAAGCAAGTAAACGAAATTCAAGCCAAGATTCAAGCAGCTCAAGATCGCCAAAAGAGCTACGCAGATTTAAAGCGTAGAGAAGAGGAGTTTGATGTTGGTGATAAGGTTTTATTAAAGGTATCACCAATGAAAGGGGTAATGAGATTCGGAAAGAAAGGGAAACTGAGCCCAAAGTACATTGGTCCATATGAAATACTACAAGAATAGGCAAAGTACATTGGTCCATATGAAATACTAACGAATTTCATGTGTCTCAATTAAGAAGGTATATACCTGATAAATCCCATGCGCTACAACTTGAAACCATAGAGCTAGACCAAAGTTTGACCTATGAAGAGAGACCTTCCAAAATTCTTGACAGTAAAGTGCGTAGTACACGCAATAAGAATGTCAAGATTGAGAAAGTATTATGGTCTAACCAAGAATATGAGGAAGCCACTTGGGAGGCAGAAGATGAAATGAAAAAGAAATGCCCTAAGTTGTTTCAGGTATGTTGAGTTATGGGGACGTAACTCATTTTCTTTTAGGGGAGTAGAATGCGGTAGAATTTCGCGCTTTCCCCTACATTTTTAGTTATTTTTGTGCTTTTTACACAATTTTATCGAGTATTTTGAGTTATTGTGTTCTCGATGAGACACAAAGGGTAAAGGTATGACAAAAAGTACAGCAATATTATACTAATTAAGGAAAAACTTTGGATTTCGTTTCCCAAGTTTTGGGACGAAACTTCTTTTAAGGAGGGTAGACTGTAATACCTCGTATTTTTATACGTATTTTATTTAAAATAAGTATTTTGAGAAGTATTTAATTGAATTGAAATGTCTTGATTAAAGTATTTTAGTTATTTATTTTAATAAGTTGGAAATATTTTATAAAAGGAAAGTTTATTTAGTTAATTATTTTAATTAAGTTGGGGTTTAATTTAGGAAAGTTTATTTTAGTAAAGTTTTATTAGGGATGGGATTAGGAAAATTAAAAAGGGGAAGTTTAGGGAGAAGGGTTTTAGAGAAGGAATATAAATATTCCACATATGAGGCAAATCAAACTTTGCCCAGAGTGGAGAAAACCCAAGGTAAACTTCTCTCTCCTTTTTCCTTATTTTCTTTCTTTTTTTTTCTTTCTCCTTCTTCCCCTTCCCCTTCTTTTTTTCGACTGCCCACCACCACCACCACTGCCAGCCACCGGCAGCAGGTGGCTGCCGCCGCCAGCAGCGTCAGCCGCCTGCAGCCGGCGTGGTGGCTTTCGCTGCCCTTCCTCCCTCTTTTTCGAATAGAAAAAAAATTTATTCTTTGTTTTAAAATTAATTTAATCCTAGATCTAAATATTAATTATGGGTTTTGTGATTTGATTTTTGGTGTTTGATTATAAGTATTATGTTAATTAATTTTAAGATTATGTTTTTTAATTAAAAAGCCGCAATTTTTGAAACCCTAGGTTCTTGATTTATAAATTATTGAAGGATTATGATATATAATGGTGTAAACCTTTGATTAAAGTGTTTTAAGACTAAATTACAGCAAGATTTAATTAAAATATAGTGCTGGAATTTTTTGTAAAGCATTAAAAATCAAGTTTCTTTAAGGAATTTTAATTACTTATTAATTGGGATTGAATTATGATGTTTTAAATATAATTTTAGCGTATTTTAAATAAATTATGAGGGGTTTTATAATAGTATATATTGCTGGAAATTTGTGTAGAGTGGATTTTAATATTCTTTTATGATTTTAAATTGTAGGAGACTATGAAGTGAGTGATTTCTATTAATTGTGGCGATATTAAGGTCGTATTCAAGGTACGTTCGCGTACTTAGCATAATTATGTTGATGTAATAGCATGCTAAATGTGTTTGATTGATTACAAGTAGTATCATGCTAGGTTTGGTTTGGAAATTATGATTCGGCTGTTATTGGTGATTGGATTATGAAGCATGATTTATATGTGATGGATTATTGAATGGAAAATAATAGCTTGGAATATTATTTATGAGCCACATATTTATTTATGCCATATTAGAGAGCATGTTTAATCAAACTAAATGTTTAATTTGGTTTGGAAAGGAAGGTCGATAATGATCACAGGTATTAATGTTATAAGCATGAGGAAAAAGCTATATATGTGTCTATGTACACGAGGAATAAATTGTATGTTGGTGCCTTAGTGCACTTAAGGTGTTTTTAACAACGAGGGATAAGATTTGCGGCGCTTTATGCGTTTAAGGTGTCATTGGCACCGAGGTAGAATTAAAAAGGATTCAATATTAAATATTATGTGGTCACTAATTATTCAAGAATTAAATTGGTGTGTTTGATTGTTGGAATAATTATTATTGGTTGAATGATTATGGTTTGAGGGTCATCACTGAGTTTAATTATCTGTAAATAACGTAAAATGAAAGAGATTACGCACCAAAAACTCTTGGAACGTATATACCTCGAGTATGAACATATGGGGGGGAGTTATGGGGTTTTATATTTAACCATAACTTCTAATGGAGTACAGGACGCTTATGTGTGGTTTTTGATGTTGGCACGGTTAGCTCCCGTGTCAGTAACCTCAATTTATTGGGGGAGGTTAGTGGGAAACCCGTTCGATGCGTAATCAATGCTAAATAAATTATTTAGTGTATAGTGAGAATTTTTATTGAATGTGGTATGCTTGAAACACAGGTGCAAGAAGGTAAGTAGTGTGTTGATAGAGAATTGTATGCTAGTGTATTAATTGCGCTTATGTACTCAGCTTTGCTGATTGAGTGTTTTGTGTGTTTGTTAGCCTTGTCTTTATCTTGGCCCTATGATGAACCATTTTTAATAGAGAGTAGTGGAAATAGGTAGAGATAAGCATATTCATGAATGGGCATGAGTGAAGAGCGTATTATGCTAGTTTCCATAAGTATATGATGTGTTTATCGCTTTAACTATTTATGATAATATTACTATGCGTGACTAACGAAAAGGGTTTTGAGTTTGGTTTGGTTTTGATAAGGGCTTATAATGGTTCCAAGTTGTAGGTTGATTTTATTTTATTTTGTTTGACTTTGGTTTGACTTTACTTTCGTTGATTGACTTTTCAAGTTGACTTGTTTTGAAAGGTTTTGAAATTAACCTCCCGCTGTGTGTCTTTGATAATTGCCTTAGTCGTTATCACGGTGGCGGTAATGTCTTAGATATTCCTATTTAAAGTTTTATACAGGGAAAAACAGGTATTTCAAAAGAAAGGAATTTCTAGGGTGTTACAGTTTTGGTTTGTGCAAAGAGGTGAGTTTGGTGTACTTAGTTTAGGAGATAATCTTGTTAGAAATCAAAATTAAAGCAAACTATGTCAAAAGTAAATAATAATTAATCCAAAGTAAATTTAAAAAATGCTAAACAGTTTCTCAAACTATCATTTAAGTAAATAATTTCACTTTTAGAGTAGTTAATATTTACTCAAATGAAAATTAGAAAAACTCAAAAGTATATAAAAATAATAATTACATTACAATGGTTCGAGGCGTTAGAAGAACCTACGTAGGATTCGAACCCACATCTTTTGTGCACTTGCACAATGCTCTACATATTAAGCTAGTAGGCTATTATAGAGTAAGAATAATTAGTTGACACAACTGAGCGTTTTTTATTTTCTAAGCTATATACTGAAAAATCACAAAAGTAAATAAAAATACTCAAAAGTAAATAAGAAAATATTAATTACTATCCTATTATATATGCAGAAAGGACCATGTTCACAATGAGAAGGGTCATGTTGAAAAAGAAGATAAAATCAAAAAATGAAAATCAAAGCAGCAGTTGCAACAACAGCCTTGGCAGGGCAAAAGTAGCAGCTGAAGTAGCAAGCCATGGCAGGACAGCAGCTGCAGCAGCAGGCCATGTCGGGGCAACAGCTGCAGCAGCAACCTTGGCAGCATTGGTAGAGCAGCAGCTACAGGCTTGGCAGGGCCTCCAGAGCAGCAGCTGCAGCCTACCAATTGAGCTACTAGGTTAGTGACAAAAAAGAGTCTTGCAAATCAAGGCAGCCTAAAGAATTGAGTGTGTAAATAAAACATCCGTATGTATTAAATAAAAATTATTCAAAAGTAAACCAAACAATCTAAAAGGTAAACACAATAATCAATAAAGTGTATGTACACTCGCTAGGGATTTTAGATCGTTCTTACTTGTTCAGATAGCTAAGTTGTTTAGTTCATTTACGCATATGCAATTCCCTGTATCTGCAGACTGCTATTCTTGTAATATAGCTTAATCTGCAATTCCCTATATCTGCTCTTTATACAGTCTTCTCAAATAAGACTATATAACTCAATATCAATATAGTTTGCTGCTACTCTTGTAATATAGTATGTAATACATATTGTACAAGAGCAGCAGTATGTAGTATAGCTCAGTCTACTTGTTATAGAAGTGTGAAGCGGGATGACATCCATCTCCGCACCTATGTCAATAATAAACACCAGAAGTAAGAGGAAAGGGAGCCTTATCAACACTAGTAAGAGCTCAAATTTTAGAAAATTATTTTGTTATAGACTTATAGTCTATTCAATGAAACAAGGAATAAATGAACAAATTCTCAAGCACCGAATCACAATTAGAATCAAAAATAAAATAAATAATTGCCACATTGTATGCCATCATCTACCCATAAGTGCAATATAACACCTATACTAGCTACCATAGAAACGCTTAGAAATGTTTAGTACATCGATATCAAAATCTCATTAAGTTCCAAAATACAACAAAAAGACATAGAAATGCTTGCAAATAGCTTAATCCAACTTTCAGAACGGTTTATACATACAATGCCATACCCAAAATAAATAAAAAATTATAAAAAGTAAAGCAAACTAAATAAAAGGTAAATAATAAGAATTTAAAAGCAAAAAACAAAGAAAATTGAAACATAATCAAAAGACACACATAATACAATTTTCATGAAAATTCAAAGACAAGCATCAAAACATAATCCAGATTAAAAAAATCCAATAATACAAAGCTAAGCGTCTCAACTAAAAAAATCAATGGAAATCAAGTAAAAAACGAAAACCCTAACCAAACCAAAACACTAGAAATTAAATTGAGTAAACAACAATAAGCTATAATATCATAAAACTATTCAGAATTAAAAAATAAATAAAAAACGATTCAGAATTAAAAAATTCAACCAGAAATCTAATTAAGAAAATCCACAATTCGAAGAATATTAAATTCAGTAAACTCAATTGAAATCTCAAGAAATTCAATAATCAAAGTTGTACAAAAATTACGGATTTACCTTAGTTGTATATTGTTGGAGAAAAATTCTCCACAAAGAGGGGTAAAACTTCAATTAAAGAAGATGCAATAATTAAGCAGAAATAGTATAAAAAGCTTCAAATTTTCGACCATATAATCTGATTAAAAAATGCAAACACACAAATTAGTCAAACAAAAAATAGCTAAAACCCTAGATTCAAACTCGAATTAATCAAAACCAAATTGAGCAAACTTTAACTGAATCGAGAAAATTAAACAAACTAATAAATCGAAATTTACATACCTTAACAGGAAAATGCGAGAAATTGATGAACAAAACGGAAGAAATCGAAGAGCGTATCAAAGAAAATCGCTTCACAGAGAGTTTAGAGGAAGAGAGAGAAAATCTAAAGAAAACAGAGAGAGGAAAAAAAAGAAACGGAGGAAATCCTAGGTAGTCATTCAAAGCGAATTATTACGATAATACCCTTAATGAAGCGGGTCTAATGTAGACCGTCTGATGAGTCGTGATCAACAGTGCAGATAGGTTCTTAGTTCCTATTATTCAACATAGTTCTCACATGATATATATATATATATATATATATTTTATCCCTATGTATATTACTCTTTCCGGTTTATAATAATTACAACACTCTGACTATTGCACTATAAATATGCTTACTTTGACCATATTTTTTGTGAGGTCCTAAAATGGATAAGAAATATGCGGCTTCAAGTAGGACGATCAAATTCAAGTAATATAGATATAAGAGAATTTTCAGAGTGGATATTAAAAATTGGAGATGGCACGGTAGGAGAGCCAAATGATGGTGAAGGTACTATAGAAATTCCTGATGACAATCTGATAAAGGAAGCAACAAATTCGATCGAAGCAATTGTCGATAGTACTTATCCATCTATTCTTCAGAATTTGTGGGATCCAAAATACTTTCAAGAGAGAGCAATTCTAGCACCAACTCACGAAAATGTTGAAGCTATAAATGATTATATGTTATCTATAATGCCAGGTGAAGATAAAGTTTAAATTATTACTTTCTTATAAATGATTACTTCTTAATTTAATATATAAGATTTTTGTTGACTATTACTAGCTATCTTTAATGCTAGGTGAAGAAATAGAGTACTTGATTTCTGACAGCATATGTCAAGCAGATACAACCATGGGAATTGAATAATTTTATCCACCCGAGTTCCTAAACACCATTAGATGCTCCGGTTTGCCAAATCACCGGCTAAGATTGAAGGTTGGTGTTCCTGTCATGCTTCTCAGAAATATTGATCAGTCTTCTTGCTTGTGTAATGGTACCCGATTGGTGATAACTCAGCTAGGAAAGTATGTTGTTTAAGCCAAAATAATTTCAAGTAGTAACATTGGGCATAAAGTGTTCATTCCTAGACCGGTCCTAAGCCCATCGGATACTACCGCTTTGCCAATTAAGCTTCAACGTAGACAATTTCCATTGGTAGTTTGTTTTTCTATGACGATAAATAAAAGCCAAGGTCAATCACTCTCACATGTTGGTTTATATCTTCCAAGACCGGTTTTTAGTCATGGTCAACTTTATGTTGCAATCTCCAGAGTTACAAACAAGAAAGGTTTGAAGGTTCTAATATGTGATAAGGACTGAAATATTGCTAACACTACAAACAATGTAGTATACAAAGAAGTATTTCAAAATTTGCCATGAGAAGGTATTACTCAACACTACTTAATAAATAAATTAATATTCATCATTTGCTAACGTTGTTTAAAATCTACATTGTTAAACTCTCTAACTTTTTTTGTAATCAATTTTTACATTGCATTGCTACAATTCATGGACTTTTATTAATCCCCAACAAATGGACGAAGTAGGTAGAAATTGAAAGGCATTAAGTACTTTAATTAGATTTTTGTGGTTAGATTCGAATAATTTAACTTTTATTCAAATATTGTATGTGTTGGTCTGGAGCTTAAATTGATTTGTTTGTGATATTTTTTTCTTCGTATAAGACAATTATTTATTGCATGATTACTTATATGATCAGGGAGCAAGAAGTTTTAACAAAAACACTTCTACAACGACATATCATTCACACTATACAGTTGATGATAGTTTTGTTTCATATTTTTATTACTCATAAATTGGATTAATATCGCATATTATTAGTTAATCTTATTTAATATTATAAGCCATGCATCGCACGGGCATTGTACTAGATGTTCCTAATTATAGGGAATATTTCAAGCATTACCCCAAACTTGAATCCCACTGTGATCATACACTTAAGCATGGTGGCGTCCAAAGGGAAAGAAGCTAGAGCAAAAGAGTCGCCAACAAGTTTTAGGAACTTGTAAACCGTTCATAGGGTGAAGGTTACACCCCTTAAAGATCCAGGAGATCGTTAGCTCCAATAGGTCTGGAACCAAGACTGAAAGTTCGAGGATGAAGATACAAATCCAATCAAAAGAGAAAGAACCTGCCCTAATAATAGGCACCTACTTTATTCTTCTTGTATTCATGTGCGCTTTCTGACTAACATACAATCAATAGGTTTACTCTAAACCTGTTTATCTATGTTGGTTGAATATTAATGCACAAACAAAACTATTAATTGCGATCACTTGAATTATAATCATATTAACCTAAACAAGATTATTAATTATCTTATTAAGTGTGATTACAAGTACAAATTCCCTTTAAACATGCATAAAAGGCGTGATCAAGCAATAACAATAAATATATTATCAAGCAACATAATAATCCTCATAATAATAATCATAACCATAATCATATCAACACTAAAGCATAATAATATCAAGATCCTAGGCATGATCCTAACAAGATTAATAACAAACCCTAGCATGTCACTAAACATTAAAGATTAAAGCTTTAACCATAACATGATACTAACATGATATTAGGAAAGAAATAGAAAGCATAATAACAATCATACTTGATATTAGAAATTTTAGTTATTACCCTAAACATGATACTAGTAAGCAATAAAACATCCTAACATGATACTAGGAATCAAAATAATAATCTAAGCATGATTTCGGTATCAAAAGATCAATAAAACAACTAAAGTACTTACTTGGATGCCTCGTATCTCTTTCTAATAACAAAATACACACGTTAGTAACTTCAAGGAAAATATATAATCAAACAATTAAATTAAATAATTGAAATAAAGATTTGGGAATAAACCCTCAGAAATGTCAAACCTTTCACGTCTAGGGTGAAGGCAACTTCGAACTTGGCTAAGTGTGTCTAGATCTCGTGAATGCGGAATTTTGTTTGTAAAAAGGGTTGGGCTAGAAAGAGAGAGAGAAAAAGCTTTAGCTTAGGGGAGAAGATCGGGTTATTTTTGATGAGAATTGCTGATTGAAAACAGAGGTCTAAGGACGCTACTTATAACGAAAACAGTCCGGATTGAATAAGAGTATGAAGAGGAATAAAACACGCCTCTGTAGCTAGGCAACAGCCTGACGTTCGGCGCTGCAGAAGATTTTTCCTACGCGTTTTCTATTTTTGATAAAATCAAATCGTAAAAGTCCGTACGAAGGGTAAAATCGTATATTCACATAAAACACTTCTTTTATTCCAAATAAAACTTATAAAACATAATTATCAACCCTAGTCCCATTAGGATTCAAAAGAACCTTCTAGAAGATTCTAGAAGACTATAATCAATCCTAATTGCATTAGGAATGATAATTCATAATAGGCCCTCCTCTAGATCATTGGGCCGCATATAAGAACCAAACCGGGCCCGGTTTAGTAATTTGGCCATAACTTCCTCATTATTCATCGGAATTGAGCTTATAATATATCGTTGGAAAACTCTTTTCGAGCCCTATCCAACTACACCATTATTGGACCCTTGTTATGGACCAAACTAAACTGGATTGACTATTTCACAAAATAGAATAGGTTTTCGAAAACAGAGAGAAAGATTTTTAATAAAAACTAACCGCAGCTATTAGAACTTCCACACTTTCACTTCATTCGATTATGATTCGATGCGAAAGGTATTCATTACCGGGTGTGGCTTTGGGGGAGACACATTTGGGTGTCTACACTAATCTTACATATGCCAATTTAATTAAAAAAATTACACCTTTAATAGAGTTATTAATTTATTATTATTAATTACTTATCATCATATATTATATTTCATATATAATATCCTAATAAAGTGGTAGAATGAAATATTTTGTGATCCTAAATTAGGTTCTTATAAAACAAATGCCAATTAATATGTTTTCAAAAATTAAAAACAATTTTAATACTCCGTATAAATTTTAAAATTTAACAATATGAGGAGTGTCAATCAACTAATCAATCTAATTCATGTCATGAGCAGCGTAAATTAACTTAATTAAAATGCAATTCTGTAAATTTTGACGTTAGAAAAAAAAATAAGGAAAATGTTATACATAGCGCGCTAAGGGATATATATAAGCATTAAATAAAAACACTCTTGAAAATTGAATAAAATTTTGAATTCATCACAAAAACACATTAATTACACTTATTCATGCGAGTTTTTATCGGGAATTCATTGGCGGATCTACATGTGTGCATGGTGGTGCACTTGCATCACAAGCAAAAAAAAAAAACAATTTTTTTAAAAGAAATGATAATCGGTCTCTTTGATACTACTATTAGATGTCAAAAAAAAAAAATACTGCTACTAAGCGTAGAATTGGCGCTGAAAGTACATTAGCGATATCAAAGAGACCGATCATCTATAATAATCGGTCTCTTTGATCGTTTACAATTAAAGAGAATATCGTTATAACTGGTCTCTTAGATTATCACCTCCTTCTGTGTTTTTCCCCCTTTTTCTTTCTTCTATTTATATCTTTTTATATGTACTATTAATTTTTAAATTTTATCCTAAAGGTTCTCAATTAAGTTTTAAAAAAAATTATAAAGTTAAGTAATAGTTTTATAGTACCATTTGTTTGTAATATGTTATTTGTACTACTTTCGGCTTGTAAGTTGGAATTTTTTATTTATTTCTATTCGGTTGTACGTAGTATGGTTTTTTGTGTCTTATTTTTGGATTGAAATCAATTTGGTTATAATATAATTTTTGGCTTGAAATTAATATGAACTAGATTTGGAAAAAATAAATTGTATTTCACAAGTGATCAATGACTGATGATGACTCACCATCTAGAAAATCCTATATCTGTTCTTGCATGAATTCCTAATTTTATTCAATTTTTAAGAGTATTTTAATTCTTATATATAGCTGTTACTCTGTTAGGGCTATGTATAACATTACCTAAAAACTCTTGATGTATTTAATGGATAGCATATCTAGAAAAATAACTATAAAAAATAATTAGTTTCCTACAAATTAGAGATAAGTGTAACACTTATACTTATCTCAATCTAACATACTTGTGATACCCGTACCTCGGGGGGTTATTGGGCGGATCAGTGCGGCCGGGTCGGTGCGGGTCATTAGCGGGCCGGGTTAGTTGCGGGTCATGATGAATATTCAGTGGGTCAGGGTGGGTCAGGGCCAATGCAGGTCAGGATCAGGTCAAGGTCAGGGTAAAAATGAAACGGGCCATTAACGGGCCTTTACCCACATACTTCTATTTAACTAATCATGTAAACTGGAAACAAAAATACTCCCTTGAACATAAATACTCCTTGAAAACTAATACATTTAAGTGGAAAACATAATACTCAGTATCAAAATTGGAAAAAGTTTAAAATCCATAAAGTTCAGATTACATTTTGAGCAACCAACTAGCACATGTCCTGTCTTGCAATGTCATGAAAATGATACTAAACACAGAGACTTGGTGTCAGCAAATATTTGAAAACATCAGGCTTCAAAGCCATATCAGAATATCAGGCTTCACGGGAATTCGAAAACCTCAGATGTAATCTCAAATTTTCTTGACTAGCTGCTCATGTTACCGCCGAGAGGTTTGAGACCTTGGCTTAGCTCTCTGCCGATTCAAACATTAGACGGAATAGAATCTGATGTAAGCATTATTATAGGAAAGTCTATCTCACGAGAAAAAGCAAACACCTTCTCATCTCTCTTGATTATACCTTCGGGACTAATATGGAAACAAGAGATGGATGCCACAAGTAAGACTTAATAATTAATAGCCTCAAACTAACCAAATAAATGTTTTACAAAATATAAATGCATTAAAATTGTTCCAACAAGAAAACAAGCTAGCACAAACTCTGATGCAGAAAACATAATGCATTAAATGTTTTAGATAATCCATCAACCCTCTCAACTGACAGAAAATAAGAAACCCATACATTAATTTGTGTATACCTAATAAAATAAGCTAACACCTAGACCCTGATGCTGAACATAATGCAGAATAAAATAAAAATATGGGAAACTATGGTTACAAACATAATGAAGAACCTGATCCTACAAGAAGCTTGACCCTGATCCTAATGCAAAACCTATTAATCAAGAGAAATCAGAACCTGTTAAGCTTGACTTGCATTGTTGCTGACATATATACACAGAGCACTTAACCAAATGTTCTGTCTTGCATTTATCAGAAAACGAAGACAACAAAATATACAACACCAAGGAACAAACAGAAACATCGAGAATTGTGATCAAAGCTTTGTAGAAATTACCTAGTAGAAAGGGTCTGCATCATCATCCTCTTCTTCTTCAATGATTTCATCTTCAAGTTCACTAGCAACCTCTACTTGATTGCTTTCACGATGCCAAGCAATCTTGCATACATACTAAAGCTTGAATTGATTTTAACTTTAATGAACTTCGCGATGCCAAAACAGTCTTTCCTCGAATACTAAAAGCGGAATCCTAAGCTACAGTACTCACGGAATAGTCAACAAATCCCGTGCCATTTTAGATACCACCGGATACCTCACAGAACTTTGATGCCAAAACTCCACAATATTAAGTTGTGAATTTAGATCTAGAGAATCATCATCAAGATACATCTCAAGTTGAGATTTTCCTACCTGAG